CTGCCCCGGGAAACAAGCCTCCCCCCCACCGCGACGTCCCACAACTCAGAGCGCACCCCCTCCCCAAACTCATTCAACCCTGACTCAGGGACCCTACTGAACGCCACACCCACGCTAAGCCCACCCAGGCCCCCGGCACCCTCCCCAGGACCCACAACGGGGAGGGAGCTGATGGCCCCTAAGGGGCCTCGTGGGAGTGTCCCGCCGCCCGAGTGCCCGAGTGCCGTGGGGCTGGCCGCGTGGTCGTGGGCCGGCCTTGCTGGCGATGGACCCTCGGGACTGCAGCGGGTGGGCCGGGTGTCCACAGCCCGCCAGCGCGGCTCCCGGGGACGCTAGTCCATGGAGGGCCAGGGACGGTTAAAGTCGGGGCGCGGGTGGAGTGGGTTACCCTGAATGGATGACCTTACTCGGGGGCAGGGGCCGCGGAATAAATGCCTTAAGGGCCTGGGACCTGAAAGTGACCCTTGATCAGGACCATGGGGAGGGCCCGGCTGGGAGGGAGGGGTTCCCCGAGCGGGAGCCGGAAGCGACAGGTGGCCCTAGGCGCTGTGATGAGGTGAGCGCCGCGGACTCGGTGGCCAACCTCCGCCCTCCCCAAAACCTGCCTGCGCGCACCCCGCGGGCCGCAGCTGCGGCCTGATGGTGAGCCCTGGCACCCGCCGAGGGGGGGCCCCTTCCAGCCGGGGCGCCCGCATGGGTGGAGTGGCCCCTTCCTTCCCCTCCCACTGTGCTGTTCTGTCTCCTGTAGTGTCCCCCGCCTGGGACCCTCTGTTCAGGGCAGGTTCTCGCCTGCCTGAGATAACAGCTTCTCCCCTCCAGAACCCCAGCCGGGGCTGGTGAGCTCAGGCCCACCGAGGGCTCAAACCTCTGTCTCACAGAGGGGCGCAGCCCCCCACAAAGTCTCACCTTCCTCAACCCAAAGGGCCAGCTGCCCGCCCTCCAGCCGAATCTCACTCCTCACAATGATCGTTTGGCTCCTGGTGCTTTTTGAATGTTTTGAAATTAATAACGAACACTTAAAAATTGAGGATCTCTTGTGAAAAGATTGAAAAAACCAGAAGTTCTGCCAACACAGCCCCGGGGCGGCAGGGCACAGGTCAGGGGGACCTGGGAAGTGACCAGCCCCTGTGGGCTCTGCCATTCCCAGTGCCCGCCGTGCCCCCATCTCTCTCCAGGCCCTTATGCCACATGGCACCACCTGTCTGGTCCTGTGGGTCTCTAGGCTTTGGAACCCTCGACCCCTAACTTAGACCCTTCCCCAGCCTTCATCCTCAGGTGTTGCAGGGAGAGGATCTGCATGTAGAATCACTAACGTAGGCAGTGTAGGGCAGGTAAAGGGGAACCATGGGAACGGAGGCCCCCAGACTGGTACCAGGCCCTGAGGGTTCTGGGGCAGGGAAAGATGTTGTGGGCCTGGAGAGCTGGAGGAGTGGAGACAGGGCCACCTGTGGACTGTGGTTGTGAGGGAGGGGTGAGAATACCCCAAGCCTGCCCTCCCCATCCCATCCCACCGGCGCCCCGCACTAGCTGAACCCACTCGCAATGTGGAGGGCCAGGGAGCCCAGGGGATGCTGTTGAAGGCGGTGCCCAGAGCCAGGTAAAGAACAAATGGGGGAGGGGCAGATAAAGAACCAGCTCCTGCCTTAGAACCCTCCACCTTGTCAGGCAGGGCCCCTGCATCACCCCAGCATCCCCTCAGATCTCCTGTCAGTTTGTCCCCACCCGATACCTAAACCAAGACCAGATTTTCAAGGGCGTAGAGTCTGCCGGACTCTCCCCACTCAACAGGCCTGCCCTCCCTGAGGTCTGGTCACTGCCTGACTCTCCTCCCCAAGCTGAGGGCCATCCTCCAGAGGCTGAGCACAGAGCCTGCTGCCCCTGGGCTCCCATTTCCTCCCCTCTCTGAGGGTGTCCCCCCCC